CTGAGGGTCGCTTCAGAATTCCATATTGATTTGAGGACTAGAAACAAGTAAAAATGAGACTAAGTTACACCCCTTTTTTAAACCACTTTAAAGTTTAAACTCTTCAAATCCCATTTCTACCCCACTTCGAGACCCCCAACTGAAAACACTGGAAAGCAGAAAAGATCTTATTTCGAGTTGCTGGGGTGACCCGCGCAGGTGGCTGCCTGGCGGCTTGCCTGGATGGCCGCCCAGCCGTGCGACCCAGGTAACCTAGGCCTCCCCCCCCCACCCCCTTTCCTCTCCCCCAATTGACCCATCACCAAATTCGAAGACGAGGCCCCACAAATGCAATGCTGGCTTGAAGTCTTTTTTTTTTGGGGGGGTGGGGGGTGGGGGGTGGGGGAGGTGAATTTTGCCCTTTTTTTTACCCCCCCCGCCGGTGAAAACTGAGCAGATGTCCTTGCCCCTCTGGCTAGGGTGTGTCATTTTGCGCGGGCAGGTAGCCTAGATTATAGGTATAAAATTACTATAAATTACAGTATAATTATATGGAATCATTTTTTGGACCTTAAACCCATCATTTTTTTTTGTTTCTAACAACAAGTTCGAATGTAAATAAACATGGGTTGCAAAATTTCAGGTCTTTGCGACGTTCTCATTTCATTTCTATTTTTTTGAAAGTTTGCGCCTCAGTTCGTCGTCCCATCCTGTCCTAACCTGCCCTGCGTTCACTTGTGTGTTTGTGTTGTCTGTGTGTGTGTGTGGTGGTGGCGGCGATAAAGAGTTTGCAAATGAGCTTGTGACACGTGGAGCAGCCTTGACTGTGCTTCATGCGCTGTTTGCGGCAATTGCATTGCCATCGGCACTTCTATCACTCACCTCTATGATTGACAGTCGATGGGCCATTGTGCTCGACAGGTACGTAGGTAGGATTGAGAGTACTTACTGTCGTACTACCATTTGGTTGCGTTTGGTTTCGCTTGGTTTGGTGTGATGTGGTTTGGTTTGGTTTGGTTTGGTTTGGTTAGGTTAGGTTGGGTTCGGTTTGCTTCGCTTCAGCTTGGTTTGGTTTGGTTGGGTTGGGTTGGGTTGGGTTGGGTTTGGTTTGGTTTGGTTTGGTTTGGTTTGGTTTGGTGTGGTTTGGTTTCGTCTGGTTAGGTTCGGTTCGATCCGCTCGATTCAGCTAAGTTTGGTTTGGTTAAGTTTCATTTGGTTTGGTTTGGTTTTCATTCCTGTCCTCCTCGTCGTTGTTGGTATTGGTCGTGATCGACGGTCAATCATTGATCGTATTGATGGCCATGATGATGATTATGATAATGATTTTTATTAAATTCTTAGGGCATTTCTGCTGCTATTTGCTGGAGAGAGAGAGAGAGAGAGAGAGAGAGAGAGAGAGAGAGAGAGAGAGAGAGAGAGAGAGAGAGAGAGAGAGAGAGAGAGAGAGA